TAGTTGCGTATTTTTTAAACCATGTAATGAAACCCCTTATCCCCCTCCATGTCAATTTATTTTCTGCTGCCGTGTGTATTTACACATATTACACAAATATTGCACACACACACATGCATGCACACACACACACACACACACACACAGACAGAGAATAATCATAAAAAAGGAGGAAGTATTTACGCTACACATAGATTACCTCTTCTTCTTATTTGTGTTCCCTGTCAAATATCATACTAATATTTCCATATACACTACCCATAAAAGTGTATTAGTTGAGCGCTCTGTTTAACTTAGTTTTGACAAGTTAATTTTACGGTTGTATTGAAATAGCAGAACCCTAGTCTGGAGAATACGATTCTGAACGACTTATCACCAGATTTTAAGTTCGAATCAGTGCATCCTTCACTTATTATCTTGATATATTTGTTTGTATTCGTGTAATAGAAATTTGGAGAGAGGAACAAAGGCACAGATAGAAAAATACAAAACTTCATTATATGATACATATATTTTATAATAATTATATACATATATTATGAAATGGACAAAGTCCGACAATTATTTTAAGACATTTTTTTCCGAGAAATTGTCATAGAAAATATGCGTCCTCCGATAGGAATCGAACCTGTATTCTATACGGAACCGTCATATAGCCTGACGTGCTTTTACCGGTTTACAGAGCTCTGTGGCGAAATCGGTAAATGCACGTTATATGACGGTTCTGTATAGGATACAGATTCGATTCCTATCGGAGGACGCATGACAATTTCTCGGACATTCAGGCCGGGAAATGTTGTTAATACTGTTTATTATAAACAGAGCATTTACTTAAATATTTTTATTTATAAAAAAAAAGAATGTATAAACATAAAAAATGTCTTAACATACATATCTATCTAAACATATTAGAAAAGTTTAATATATACATCTGTAATATCACTGGCAAATAGAAAATATCTTGTGTTAAAATAGCGTCTTTGTTTCTAGGTGGATGTTCTACCTATCTATGAATTAGCAGTTGGTGAGCAGTTATCGAATTCGAACCCTAAATGCTGGCGTTGGAAGCTGAATTAAATCCATTTCGCAGACTGAATAGACTTCGTCTGCATTGCTAAGCAATTAAAACGAAATGATTATAAAAAAATTATTTAGTTGGTGACAGTCGATTGAAGAGAGGTTACTGAGAATAATTACCATTTTCATATAATCACCATTGTAATGATCACCTTTACTGCTCCTGCCACTACCACGAGCGACATACCCACAAATACTACCACTATAAGTTGTAGTAGTAGTGGTAGTAATCAAATGACTCCTGGTCACGTAAACTGACGATTTTAATTCCCAGAGAAAAGAAACCAAAAGCTGAATAAGAAGATCGTAAAAAATATGAGAAAAAGACAACGCGGAAAAAAAGAAAGAGTAAAACAGAAAGAGAGCGAGAAAGAAAAAAAAACCTGGGGCACTCGTCTGAGTGATAGATAGACAGAGAAATAAGAGTAAGAAAAAAACAAACAAACTAGGAGCCGTAGACAAGGACCCAACCCAGGAGACAAGAAACGGAATCTACCTAAAAAAGAGAGAAAAAAAAAAAAAAAAGAAAAGGTATTGATTTATTTATTCCATTCATTGTGTGACATCGCTTCTGTTTCATATGTGGCTATGGGTTGTTAGGGAAGGGAAACTGGATGTCATTTTGCTAGAAAGAAGGATGTGACATCCATCTTGTCGGCGCAGTGCGTGCCTGATTGGTCAATCGATATTTGATCATGACTGTCGTGTGTGGCGAAGTCCGAGCCTTCAACAAATTTTATAAACACAATTCAAAATACGTGCACACCTGCGAAAGCGACAACTGCATACACTGCATGAAT